CAATCGTTGATTATATTTAAAATACTATTTAACCTTTTACCGGCTACCCACTCGATAGGTTTGAGGCTTGACAAATTCATAGATAAATTCAAACAAGGACGAAGAAGACGGGGAAATAAGAAGATAGAGTTGCAAAAAAATTTTTAACCCTATGAATCATTTAAAAGATTATAAATTAATTAGTAGGTTGAGATTATATTAGTCTTATATTTAATAAAAAAATACACTTAAAACTTTTTAAAATAAGATTATCATGTTTTTGGACAACGTTACAATAGATTGGGTAAGAATACAACGCATTGAGAGTAAAATTACCAATTTTGGGTAAGAATATTACTTTTTTTTTTGGTAAAAATACCACTTTTTTTGGGTAATATTACCACTTCTTTTGGTAAGATTACCATTTTTTAAAGCTAAGGTTATCACTTTTGGGGTAAGGTTACTGATGGGATAAAAATACAACCAGATTACAACTCTTTGAGTAATAATACCACTTTTGGGGGCAAGGTTACCATTTTTTTAATAAAATTACCACCGTTAAAATTGGTGAGGCTACCAATTTTTGGCCCAAGTTTACCCTGATTGGGTAAGAACACAACTTTTGGGGTAAGAATACTATTTTTCAGGTAAGTTTACCATCTTTTTGGTAAAATTAACACTGGATAAAATTACCACTTATTTTGGATAAGATTTAACATTTTTTTTTTGTAAATTTAACACTTTTTTATTTTCTTAAAATCATGGCTGGTCTTAGACCAAGCTTACCAATCTTAAATAAGGACTGATCATGTTTAGTGATCAAGTTTATCGATCACGCATACAACTAAATCAAGACTAGTCTTGTTATGTTTAAGGATCAAGCTTATCGATCCAACTAAAAGCAAGATCTTTCATCACATTACCCAAATACCGAATTTAAGAACCCAAACTTGAAATCAAATTAAAAATCAATTTTTTGGTAATTATCATCTACTATCAAAACTCAAATAATTTTTGTACGCACAATTCAATTAAAATTCGAACCAATTAAATTTTTTTTATATATTAAAATTCAAACTGATTAAAATTTGTTTTTCTACAAATATTTGAGACGATTGAGCTAATTAAAATTTATTTTTTATGTATTAAAATTTGAATTGATTAAAAATTATATCTTTATACATATTAAAATTCGATTCAATTTGATTAAAATGTTAAATCGGCTCGAATCAAATGACATTGAATTTTAATCGACTCAAATTTTGATACATAAAAAATATAAATTTTAATTGACTCAAATTTTAATACTTAAAAAAATTAATCAGCTAGAACCAAATTTTAATTAGCACGAGTTTTAATAAAAAATATAAATTTTAATCGGCGCTAACAGTTCAGGTTGAGCTCAAATCGGTATAAATTTTAATATGTAAAAAAATAAATTTTAATTGGCTCGAATTTTAATATAATTTTATGTAAAAAGATTATTTGAGATTTATATAAGGGCAATTTTGATATTTTAGATTTTTTTTTTTGCTAGAAATGGTGATTTAATGGCGTTGTGTCAATAATGTTTAAATATAAACTAGAAGGAAGTGTTAATGATGTTTTGGATAATAGATAAGGTGTCCTTGAAGATATGATAAATTAGAAGATATGTGGTTGAAATTTTCCTAAAATAAATCACTACAATTGATCCAGGATCGATCTTACGTTGAATCAAGATTGTTCCTACTTAGTTATGATCGGCCTTACAACTTTTTAGGGGGTAAGTTACAACTATTTGGGAGGTAAGTTATCACTTTTTGAGGGTAAATACTATTTTTTGAGAGTAAGTTACCACTTTTTTGGGATTAGTTACCACTTTTTAAAGGTAAGTCACTTCTCTGGGTAAGTTATCATTTTTCGGGATAAGTTATCACTTTTGTGGGGTAAAAACATCTCTAACCATGACTCAAATTTTTATTCAAATTTAAATTAAAATTTGAGTAAAAAACTTGATTTGATTTGAAGAACTCCAATGGACAAACTCAAATTTAAAGAAGAAGAGACCCAAATTTAAATAAAGGTAAACCCAAATTTAAAAAGGAGTGAGGATAATCATTAGATCTTTAAAAAATTGTAAAATCTCACCATTAAAAATTTAAGTAAAAAATTGAGTCCCTTTTGATTTGAGTAAAAATATGAGTTTCCCTTGATTTATTGTAAGTTTGAGTCAAGGATTGGAGCAAGTTTTTTAGACTTTTTTACTCAAATTTAATTTTAAGTCTAAATTTGAGTAAGGATTGGAGATGTCCTAAGGTACCACTTTTGGAGGTAATCTACCACTTTTATAGAGTAAGGTAGCACTTCTAAGAGCATATCCAATTCTTATTCAAATTTAGACTCAAATTTAAATTTGAATAAAAAAGTTTAAAAAACTTACTCTAACTCTTGACTCAAACTTATAACAAATAAAAAAAAAACTCATTTTTTACTCAAATTAAGGGAGACTTAAATCTTTACTCAAATCTTTAATTGTGAGATTTTACTATCTTTTAAAGATCAAATGGTAATCCTTACTCCTTTTTAAATTTGGGTTTGCCTTATTTAAATATAAGTTTGTCCATCGGAGTCTTTTATATCAAATTAAGTTTTTTACTCAAATATTAATTTAAATTTGAGTAAAAATTTAAGTCATGGTTAGAGATGCTCTAAAGGGATAAGTTACCCCTTTTTTTGGATAAGTTAAAACTGTTCAAAGATAAGTTAGCACATTAAAAAGTAACATAATTAAAAAATAGTGTGACATTAAAGAGTGATATAATTTTAAAAATAATGTAACATCAAATTGTGACATAATTTTAAAAATTGTCAATCATAATAAAAAAGTGACACAATTTTAAAATTAGTATGACATCAAATAGAGAATTCACACATTAATCCATAATTATACAATAAGTAAAATAAGATGATATAAAAAAGTGGATCCACAAAACACGCTCAAAATAAAAATAAAAAATCATACTCACTACATGTTGATGACAAAGCACTAAAATGCCGTTGGTACCTTCGAACCCATTTCCATACAAAATATTAAAGATAATAACTTATTAATCAATCCTACGAGGATCAATTCCTCAACAAAACCCACCAAAATTTTTAAGAGGTGGTTCCGTTGTTGAAATTGATATTTGATAATTTAAAGGTTTCAGGTTTAATTTTTTTTAACATTTCTTAAGGATTAGTCACTCTTATCCCTTTAGGGATATGCTTTAAAGTCAACTAAAGTTATAGTGGCTAACCATTGACTTCGAGGGAATAGTTGACGCAAGCCTAAACACCCTGTAGACCAAAAAAAAAAAACACCAAAATAGGTATGGTAAACTGCAAAATCAAACCAAACTAAAAAAACACTATAAAATCATCCCAGCTTAAAAATAAAATAAAATATAAACACTAAAAGTCTAAATGTCTCAAAAAAATGTATTAAAGACAAATTTTGTTATGTATAATTTGAATTTTTTTTTTTTTTGATGATAAGCTTGATTATTGATCTTTCTAATAAAAATGTTGTTTGGCAATAATCTAAAATTTTTTAGATTTTTTTTTTAATTTTTTTGATTTGTAAATTTCTTAGAATAACGTATTTGAACACCAGGGCAAGCCCATTTAGTAAAAATTCTGTTTTGATCTGGAAAAGAAGTGAAAATTGAAGTTGAGTTCTCCTTAATGGATTTATAATGACTCAAGTCTGTCAAACAAATTTATTTGGTGATAAGTCCATTTTTTATCATACTAATAAGTATTCAAGTTCACTATTTTTTTAATTTCAAAAATATCTTTAATAGTGTTATTCTGTTTAATTATAGACACCTTAAATACCTTGAAATAACTTTAAATTAATTTCTTAAATTAGAAATTATTATCCCTTAATTCACTCCTAAATTAAAATTTATATTTATATTCTCTTCCCCTCTTTTTTTCTCTTGTTAGAAGAAGATCATCATTCCAATACAACAAATTTTTCTCTTTAAATATAATTTCTTCCTCCATAGCATCAAAATTAGTAGGGTTTGAAACATCATTAACAACTACCATATCTTTTACTGTACTCTAGTCATCACGAATTTCTATGTCATTTATTTTTAGAAAAAAATGTTGAAAAACTTACTCAATGTGTTATTGGTTTGATCCCCAATTTTATTTTTATTTTTTGATAAATAATTTTCAAATTTTTTTAATGTTTCATGTAATTACATTTTTTGTTGACCATGTTATTATTTTTTGAGCATGTTATTATTTTTTCAGTTACTTTTTTGGATGCTAAAGAATTGGAGACTTTTTCCCATGATTATAGGTTTGAATGCTACTATTTTTGTTTAATGTTCTATATTCCTATTTTTTTTTTGTTAAATATGTTACTGTTTTTGTTAAACATATTACTATTTTTGTTGAACATTTTACTATTGTTATTTTTTAAAAAATATTAATATTAAATGTTATTATTTTTTTATGTTTAAATGTTATTATTTTTTTGTGTTTAAATAGTATTATTTTTTGTATTTAAATAATAACTTTTTTTTGTAATTGAATGTTACTATTTCTATATTTTATTATGTATATATATATATATATATATATATAGTCCTAATTTACATATGAATATAGATAAATATGAGAGAAAAAAAAATTAATGTTACTCAAACTCATAAAATTTAAGAGTTTTTTAATTTTTAGTTTTACCTCATTTTTAAAAGTAATGGATAATCTGATAAAATTAACAAAAAATAAATTTCATAACAAATAAGTTTATTTGATGGACTTAAGTTCGAACGACTCACAAACTTTCCCAGCAAAGAAACATTTACATGATGCACTTGACAACCCATTGGGCTACAAGGCCCATTAAACTTGGCAACATGGGCTCTGCTCTCTGCACTCGACGGCCATATTGCTTGTGCACAAAGTTTTCTTCAATAAACCTGGTGTCTGTCTGTCTCACGGTGAATCGAAGAAGAAGAAGAAGAAGAAGAAGAGAGAGAATGGAATCCCCGAAGACAATAGAGCACGAAATCGGAGGGGTGAAAAATGATGCACTTCGATTTGGACTTCATGGCGTAAAGAGCGACATCGTTGGATCTCATCCCCTCGAATCTGAATATCAATCGGTACTCTCTCTCTCTCTCTGAACCCCAATTTCTCTATAATCATATATGGCTATGGATGCGTATGTGCAAAGTGTGTATGTCTACGTTTATATATTGTTTGATCAGACAAGGATGAGGCAAGAGGATATGAAGAGGAAGATCCTTGTGAACACTTACGGCTCGGCTTTTCCTTTGAGGATGGAGCTCGATCGCCAAATTCTTTCCAGGTATTACGAATTTTGAAGTTTTTATGTCGATATATGATCTCTATTTCAATTGTTCTGTTGCATGGTGAGCCTCTTATCTTGTTGAAATTAGGTTTTGGCTTCGAAGTACGGCCTTTTTTTTTAATGTTTGGGTTTTTCGCTGTCTGTGAGCTGATGATTTGCTAAGTTATTTACACGTGAAAGCTTGACTTTATTATTAATGCTGTTTGGTTGACGTGAAAGTGATGAAGAAAAATAGTGGAAGCATAAAAGCACAAATTTACATATTTATGTTCATTGTGAGATTGAATTGAAGGAAAATCATACACCCCCGGTCGTCAGCTTATTTCACTTAATGGGAATGTATCCAGTTCCTTTTCTTTATGTAAGATTGTTTCATCTATTTTCCCCTTTAATTTCAAGTATTCTGTTTTCGTGCCTATATTTCCTATTTGGAAATAAAAGTGTCTATCTGAGCATTGTATAAGTTGTTATCCGTGTATCTTACATTGGGTGCCATTTCTTTTGTCTACTAAGGCTACTTTGATTTATGTAATTGAACGTAGCAAATAAGGTGTGGGGTTAATTAATTTTGATTGGTACATTAAGGACTCCAAATAACTGGGGCTAAGTACTGGTAAGATTAAAGTTAGTAGGTTTTGGCACCTTAATGGGTATTTGGGGTGCTAAGTATGTTCAAAGTGGACGATTGTGCGTTGCCTATGGTCTAATTTTTAGTATTGAATTGGATTGGAAGTTGGAATTAGCTACCCTAAGCATGCTGTCTTAATTGGGAGTATTTTCTATGGCTCTTGTTTGGATTATTAGTGTTTGGCCCTCGCTGCTTTGAGTGTTTGTAGGAGCACTTATATCTTTCCTTGTGTATAATGCCACAGCAGAATCAGTTTTTGTTGGATGTCATCTCTTGTTTAGGCGAAGTAGGATGCATTGGCCAGTGACTAATACATCACATATTTTAGGCGCTGCGGTGTAGTTTTTGTACACATTTAAGGTGTTCTGGTTAATTTATCTATTTCTATACATTTTTGTGCAAAATTTCGTCATCAAAACATGGATTATGTGAAAAAATATGCTGGTGCAATTTGGAGCTATTTAAAATAGTTCTTCCAGCATTACTGAGTATCAGTGTTTTGAAAAGCTCGCCTAGGCGAGAAGCGAGGCGAGGCGAGCTTCTCTCGCCTGGAGGACCCCAGGCGAAGCGAACGTGAGCGAAGCGAGAAAAAAGCGAGAAAAAGCGAAGAAGCGAAAAAAGCGAAAAAGCGAACGCTTTATTATAAAAAGCGATTCTGCTTCATTTTTTTTTTTTTTTTTTTTTTTTTCTGATTACAGGTTAGTAGTCTCTTTTATTTTTTAATCACTAATGACTTTTTTTTTAGACTATTGCTGGTCTATTTTTTTTTTTTTTTAATAAACAATGTTTCGAACAAAACACATTCCTTTTTTTTCCTTGTGTTGCTGAATTCATTTAGAATATTTGTGGGATGTGGGAGTCAGGCGACTACACTGCATGACAATTATGATAAAAAAATAAAGCAGGAGTATCAGAAATGGGGGTAAATAATAAATTCTTCTACAAAGAAGTGTCTCTGATATGTCTTGGTTATACTTTTCCCTTTTCTTATATATATACAAATGGTACCAAAAAGTGGTCTATGCTTATGCCATGTTTAATTATTTTAGTACATGTGAAATGTGCCTCTGTTCTGCTTTTTTTTATTCAGTATATAATTACATATGAAATTGTTTACAATTGATTCTGCTCCTGTCATGATCATTGTGCTTCTGTTTTTTTTTTAGCTCATTCTGCTTCTATTTTTTTTTTTTGTTGATTCTGTTGCTGTTTCGATTTTGCTGTCCTGTGTTGCTTTTGTTTTTTTTAATTGTCATTCTGCTTCTTTTTTTTTTGTTGCTAATTCTGCTGTTGTCCTGATTCTGCTTCTTTTGTTGTCCTACCCTGTCAATATGAAAATGTATACAATTGTTAGTATTTGTTTGAATTTAAATGTTTAAGTTATGACTGTTATTAAGATTTGAGATATTATTAGTGTTTTTTTTAATTTAAATGTTTATGATTTTACTTGCATTTAAATATTTAGTATATATAAAATTAGAACTTAGATTGTTTAGAAGTAATTAAACTAAAATATATATTTTTTTTAACTGTTCGCTTTGCTTCGGTAAAGCGTGTCGCTTCGCTTCTCGCTTCTCGCCTAGGCGTTAGGAGCCTTAGTCGCTTCGGTTCGCTTTACGCCTTAAATAACACTGCTGAGTATAAATATAAAGTTAATTATGAGTGCCATACTGGAAACATGGTAAAATTCAAATATTTAACAGTGTGAAACTCGCCGATGCTGATGTTAAACTAACTCGCTGTTTTGTGCAGCATGTTATGCTTATTGATGTCCACGGTTAGGGCACCGTCCATGCCACTGGCATGTGTTTGGAATGTCACGCTCCATGCTTGATAGTTTTTTTGTGGGTTGTGTTATTCCTGGCTGGGATCAAGTATGTGTTGTTTAGGATACATCGTTGGATTGATGTTTTAGAATGGAGACACTGTCCATTTCTGGTGCTCCTGTAGAAGAGTTTTTTGTTTGTAGGATATTGTGTATTGTTTGCATTCATGTAGTTTAAATGGATTTTATAAATGCTGTGTATCTTCAGTTTTTATGTGCTCGGGGCTTTCAAGGCTTGTTTTGGTATTGTTTTCGAAAAAGAAGTGACTCATTTCCTTGTCAATCATTCTACCAACTACAATTGATTTTGATGAAATGTGAAAATTGCTGTTTTTTTATTGGAAGATTCGATCAACTTCAGTTCTTGAATATGTAGAAAGTCTTTAACCAGTCTGCTGAGAACAGAACTTATTATAAAGCAACTTTGGCAAATGTTTAATGCAAAAATGTGTAGCATTCTTCTCTTTTATGACTAAATGAACGAATCCATTGATATACCATGGAGATTATCATCGGCGAATGTATCCTGATCAGATCAATGTGCAGCAAGTTTTGAAGATTGTCAAATATTAATATATATGTTTTGTTTTTTCTGTTACATGTGTGCATCTTACAGTGTTCAAAACCTTTGTCTTGCTTGGTTTTGCATGAAGCAGATATGAAAGCTATATTTGCTTTGCATCCTCCTCCCTCCCTCCCCCTTCTTAAAATTTGCAGATTTCAGAGGCCTGTAGGAGGGATACCATCTTCCATGCTGGGATTGGAGGCAATGACAGGAGCTTTGGAGGACTTTGGTTTTGAAGATTACCTTAATGGTAAGAATATATCCAGTAAAACCAACAGTTGAGTTTACATTTATGAATTAAATAAATGATTGGTCCGATTCTGCTCCATGTGGTTTTTCCTTTAACAAAGTTTAGCACTCATCTGCTTCCCACTCTCTATTCACTAGAGATTTGAAGTCATTGTGCATAAGCTTTGACAAATATCTAAGTAAAATGGTTGCCAAAAGAGAGTTTTTTTTTTTTTTTATTGAATAGCCAAAAGATGTGGATGGCCATAATTCTATTATTTAAACTACTGTTCGGTGTTGGATGGGATGTTAGATGGTCAGCCATTTTTTTACATTTTTCTCCTCCTTGGTTGCAAAACAAAAAAAAAAAAAACTAGGGACAAGAATTTGAGTTGAGATTTGTTCGTCTTTAGCTTAGATTAATTCTTGGGGGTTTCATCATCATAGTTGTAAGCATCATTTTTTGAAGTCGGACTAGTTTATTACCCATTCATGAATAACAACCAAATTTAGCTAACAGTAACTGTTAAAGTTTTGTTTTTGGTCATTGTAACTGTTAAAGTTTAATTTGATCGTTTCAACATTTTCATGGAAGTGATTGTATGTACATAGAGATACACAGTTTGACTTGGTGAATAATAGAGTTACCATCACAAACAACTTTATAGAGTGGGACCTAACTGTGGTCATTCTCTCTTGTTGCTTCTTACAGATCCACGTGACTCTGAAACCTTCCGCCCAGATGACCTGCATCATGGAATGGAAGTTCGTCTTGGGCTGTCCAAGGGACCGATCTGTCCCAGTTTCATATGAAGTGTCCATCCTGATAAAGGAATTCAAGTCGCTTTTTCTTATGCTGCTACAATGATCTTTGTTTTCCTTCAAATGTATTGTTGTTGAATTGGGATGCTTAAGACTTACGAAGATGAAAATCGCTGCTAAGGATGTATTGGATTACTTATCTCTGTTAGTGATTTTGTTTTGATCCTTAATAAATGCAGCAAAGGCCCTTGAAATTTATCTCCTAGTTGTTATGGTCTGCTAATTAACTGGTTTGATCCCATAAAATAATCCTGAAATCACTTTCTTTAGGATGTTTTGCTGTGTTTTGCAGTGCTTGTTCAGGTGCCCGGTGTTTTTCTTATATATGTAGTTTTTAGAATGGGATTTTTTGTGATATCAAATCGATACTGACAATTCAAATAGTCAAGTAACGATTCATAAAGAGCAAGTTATTGTAACGGGGTTGAGTTAGGATCGATCTAAAAAATTACTTACAATTAAAATATGGTAAGTTTTTGCAAAAATAGATCTTGTTAATCGTGGGTTAAGCTTTTTTGATCTATATCTCAACCTGGTGATCAAACAGCCAGTCCAGGAAAGTTTTATTGAATTTCAACTCAGCTACATCTCTTCTTTCATGTCTCGGGTATGGAAAAAAATTCCCATGTACAAGTACACACCCTGTTTGGTAACAATTGAATTCCAAACGGATACAACTCTCAGTTACAGTAGAAGTTCAAATAGACAAAACTCATGCCTACTCTATTGATCCTCTGAGAACATCACTTTTGCCATTCATAGGAGAGATGACCGCCAGAATAACAAAACCACCCAGAACAATAATCAAGACACCCAAAGAGTTCACTAACAAAGCTTCGGTAGAATAACGTGATATTATCTGGTGGGTTTGAAGAAATGTGGCTTTCTCTAAAATACCTGTGGTGCAGGTAGCGAGAGCAAGAGCATAAACGTACACCCCAAAGAATACATGCCATGGCAACAAGGTAGCTCTGTTGTTCCTTGAACCACCAGGATACCAAAAGGTTGCAAATCCAGCAGCCCACTGTGGAGGAGGAATTATAGCCAAAAATGAAATGATGTGATATGGAAGCTACTTATTCTTCCAATGTGTGTGTGAGAGAGAGAGAGAGAGCGCGTGTGTGATACATAATATATACTGGAAAGAGAAAGGAGGGGGCAGGGAGGTTAAGAAGAAGACCTGGATGCCAAATAAAAAAAGGCAAGCAAGGCCCAACCATGAATGCAGGCTGTAAAAGTGATCAATGCCCCTATCACTGTGAAACTTCCAAGCAGCCCATAGACCGATTATGCTCAAGAAGAAAGCCAGGAATTGCAATGAAAGATGAATCAGCTTTCTGAAGCTTTTTGTTCTGGATACTGTTTTGTATGCCAGCATGGCTGCATCAACCCGTACAGACCAATTAAAACAAAAAATACTGAAAGCAACAGTAAGCAGGGAAAATGACATCATTTGGAAAGAAATAACTTCAATCAAACACATAACAATTAGTTATAATCTGTTTACTCTGGACAAAGTATGAAAGTTTTCTACACATTCACTACAAGACCTCACCCAAGGTATATAAGGCAGGAAGCAACCCAACAGAACAAAAAGTACACAGAAAAAAAAAAGAAAAAGATTTACACTGTTCTCCAAACTATTAAGAAAGACAAATTCAATTTATGTCTAAAATGACCGTAGTATATCTATATAATATTCTTGAGTTCGCATTGATCTCGGGGCCATTAGAAAAGTTATTTTATTATTATAACAAAGCGATATTCAACAAATTTTGAAGGAAAGGGAAAAAACAATTAGATATAGGGGAATAACATAGTATGCGAAGAATTAAGAACATGCAAATCTAATTTAAAAGGTTTAACACAGCGCTAACTATATTCGTATCATTTCAAAAGACCAAAATGGCTTCATCAATTGAAAAATATCTGTACAAAACATGATTTACTACATGAAATGTATCATATGAATTACATTTAGGACCCATCTGATATCAATTGAAACCAAATCCAGCACCACCTATCACTGAATATAAGGGAGAGCACCAATTTGTCTGCACTTGGTCGCTTCCTTTCTCAACTGCCCACTAAAATAATATTCCCATGGTGGCTCACAAAGTAATCAACAATAGGCTCTCATTGCCGTTTATATCTGCTAATGAGAGTTCACTCAAAAACCCATGTAAGAATAATGTTCCCGCTCATAAGGATCATACTGGATAAATACCCCTCATGCTTGAATGTCATGAAGCACAATTTACACAATCCACCAGTGTCAAAAGACTTGTCCAATTTAAGTAATGATGCTGCAAGTTCTAGACACTCGTGCTTAACATTATGCAAAATCTTATATACAAATAGTTAGTCAACATATGCATTTTTAATTGCTACATCAATCATTAACTGTAGATTTCAGTACATTCTCCCTGAAGAAACATGGAATAAGGAATTATCACAACACCTTTTGGAAAGTCATGACGTCTAAGTTTTCCCTTAAAGGAAAACTAGGTAACTTGCTGTGTATAATGTATATGGAAACTGCAGAACAAACATTTTGAAAGAATATCCCTTGTTATTGAAATTTCCAAATGGATCCATCATAAAGGAGTACAGGGGAAATTTCTACTACAATATATTCACATCAAATGAGATAGGCTTACTACAAAGATATCTGTTAATGAATAGATACATAGCGAGTCTAAGATTAAAAGCAAACAGATCTGACCGCTTCCATCATACTGTCTCACTATGATAAAAAAAAAAAAATATATATATATATATATATATATATCATTCTGTCTCACCAAGTATAGCACACCCGAAAATAAAAAATCAGTCTCACCAAACTCACCTTCACCATTCAAAAGTACAAGGCCAGTAACCATTAAAACAGGATGGACCTGCAGAAGACACAAGATCAACAAGAAGATAAGCAAACAAAACAGAAGACACATGCTCTATCATCCTTGGAACATAGTCTAAATAATATAACAACTTCAATCTCCACCAAAAAACATAAATCTCAACTGGAAGCAGGATTTTATTTTTCCTTGTTGGATAGTGTGGGAAAATGTGAGTAAAGGCAAATTTGCAGAAAAAAGAGATAATTCATAAACTTTGGAGAAACCCAAATTTTCTTGTAAAACATCAAGGAGACAGGAAAATTTTTACAAGAAAGGTCGATAATTTTCATGAAATTGATTTCGTTATTTATATATCTTACTTTGACGTCGCCTTTACCTCCCCATTAACCTCAACTAAACAAAACTATAAGCTCTTCCATGCCAGAAAAGTGCAACAACCACAGCTCCAGTAATAGATCAAGCGTATATATCAATGCCCCACATAAATAAAAATTGCCACATTGCTCAGTAATTCAATTCAACCAAGTTAATTCGGTGAGTTGGCAGACAATTTGAATTCCACAAAACATCATCCATTTCATTTTCAGGATGGTGCAAAATATCAGTAGCATTTTAACATAAAGAGTCAAAGGTTGTACACACGGTCTCACATTAGAACATCAACTTACCTGACAACTAAACTACATATATATTTGGAATTTGGACAACAAAACAAAACAAAAAATAGCAGTGGAGGGGTTGAAGTTTTAGAAAAGTGAGATACATTGAAGATGCGGGTTTTTTCGTCGGAGATGAGAGCCAATCCTCCTCTGTAATGCATATTCCAAGTCAGTACCAGAGCTGCCACTGCGATGCCGATGATCCTTATCACGAAGAAGATCGGAAACTTGACCACTGGAACCGCCATTGCCACCACCTCCAGTTAAAGAAAGATACAGAGATTTAGAATTTAGAAAGAGAAAAAAATGGTCATCAATGTCGAATTTACGATGTTTATGACAATTAGAAAATCTATAATTTCTAGGGTTTTATATTCAGATTTCTTTGTTAAAATGTTCCCAGTCGGATCGGAGCGAGAATGTATTTTAGTGGACCGGATCACGTGGCACGGTGAGTGAATAAATTTGAACAATAGTAAATATAGGGATGTCAATGGACCAAAGCGTGGCAGAGAATATAGTCTTCATCCTTGTACCCTCTTAAAAAAAATTTATCCATGTCCGGTCCACTCCAGTTAACGGATATAGTTTTCATCTCTATCCCCGTCTAGGAATAAATTTTTAATTCTCGTCTCCGTCCCCATTTCCCCGTACCCGCTTAACCTTAAGCCCAAACTCAAGCCTAAGCCCAAATAGCATAATTCAAAATTCTAAATAAATCTAATATTTTAAATAATCCAACAACATTCTAAATAATCTAGATTGTAAAATGTAAAAGTCAAAACAATATAGTATTATATTTAAGTGTCATTGGACCACAAAAAGAGAAACAGAACTATTAGAGAGAAAAGAAGAAAAGAAAAATAAAATTGAACTAAAAAATGATAGCACTACACTTGAAGTTTTTTAGAAGAATTTTTATTATTACAATTCATATTATAGCCATAAAATGTTAAAAGATAAAAACTTAAAATTTCTTTAATTCAATAATTCTCTTAATTTCTCAGTTCACTCTAAGAAAGAAACTCATTAATCTCCATTCACAATTTTTCTACCCACGATGAAATGCAAAACTATCTTACTCTCTCTTATCTGTTTTTAGAGCATAGTCAATTCAAACTCCTAACAATTTTAATCAATGAGCACAAATAAAAAAAAAAATAATCAAGAAAAAAAATTGATAAGATTATCACATAATAATGTTACTTGTTAGTTTGATTACCATATTTCTAAATTGATAGTTACAGTAAATATGTTTAGTTAGAGTTTGCAAGTGTATATATATATATATATATATATATATATATATATATATATATATATATATATATATATATATATATATATAACGGGTACTGGGGGCGGGACGGGGATAAAAGTAAGTCTATCTTTGTACAGGTTTATACGGGTATTTTCGTATACGCCTACCGTTCAATACGTATAGTCCATCTCTAGTCTAAATGAGGCG